TGGGAGTCAGGTGCGGCGAATGACACAGGACCAAATTGACCGTGTGTTGAGCGACTTGAGGAGGCCAAGCTCTGGAAATGTGGATGAATTCCTGCACAACCTACAGCAGATGGAAAGTAGCGCTACTCTTACACCCCGGGACGAAAGCACAATCTTGGGCTTTTAAACGAGCAACTCTGTACTCAGATATTATCTAAACATTTCTCATGTAGGGGGACTGATCGTTCAAATTTATTTGTTCATCTTTCTTTCCTCCTTTGTGTACTTCAACATGTAAACTTGGTGGTATTTAAATCCTCCTGGTCGTACTGACAGCGTCCTGTTTCAACCTGTTGTGAGAGATCGCATGAATATAGGACCTTTACCCACGTCGTCCCATTTCCTGAGCTCACGGACGCCGACTGGTTTGTTTGGTTCCACCTGAAACTGGTTGCCTCCGCCAATTCAATCCAGAAGATCCCAGATGCAACCTCAAACAATTAACTGCACAAAACCAGTCGTGTGAGTAGCTTTAAACAAACAAGGCAAGATCGCATTGCCACCAAAGTAGAACAATGCTGATGTGTAAGAATGCTCGTTTTTTTTTTGTTTTTCTTTTTTGGCTCTTTGCACGGGAGTGGGATGCCAAAAGCATTCCCTGCCAATGAAGTCGGGGGCGACGGAAGGAATCGCCAGAGGTTCTACTGGGTACCTGAAAAATCTGCAGTGTCATCAACGAGCCAGGTAGGGCTGACGCCGTGAACTCGGCCACGTGGTGCTTGTGTGAAAATAATGCTCGTTAAATCTTCATGTGCTAACGTCCATCTACTTGCCTTAGTTTGCAGGCCAGAATTCAGAGTGATGACCGAATGGCTGAAGCAAATTCGCGCCATTTCCCAATAACAACATACTCTGACCTCAAAGCTCAACCTGCTCTGGGGTAAGTCATACATTTCACTACACTTTTCTCTGAAAAACACAAGCCATACAGAACACAATTGTTTTTTTTAAATTTGAAATGCGTTAATTTTGATATTATTTTTATATTTAATGATGACTTGTACACTATAAGGCCTGAACATGCAGGGACTAATGAACAAACAACAGAAATATGCAAAATTCCATTACGTCCAACCTCAACATCAGTCACCAAACCGCAAATACAAAGAAATGACAGCGTAATTGTTTTCTGTGGTGAGAACCTGAATTCAAATGCCAACTGCTTTTATTAACTCCATTATGGTCTAATTTACGTTATCCTTTACACGTTGCTTCTAGTGGAAATGAAAACAAAAATGCAGAAAGGGAAATTTTAAGTCCTACTTGGTCTTGAGTATAGTTCTCCTGTTTTTTTAATTCCTGGAACATTTTGATTGAAAAGGGCTCCCAGACATTGGTTGTCCATTTTGTGTACTATTTAACTGGTGTGATCCATATCTCGGTCACTGTCCACTGCCTCTTTTCCAAGGTTTTGGTAGAATTATTACAGAGTGGCAGTGCATTCATAAGCAAATGTCTGTGTGTATATCTCTTTGTGTATCTGTGAGGATATGTTGCCAGGCCTGTAGACCCAATAGAGGGTTCTGCTTGAGTTAATTTGGTTACAGAGAATAATGGTTGTCCACAAAACAGAACGAAATTGGAGAAAGATTTAGTTAAAACTAATGTATTTGTTAAATATTGTTTTTGTCTTATATCCTTCTCTTAGGTGACAGTGCTAGGTTCTCTTTCTTCAAGTCAAAAAGCTGAATTGCTTCTTGAACCAAATAACTTGTCAAATGAAACCCTTGCAAGACTTGCGTTCAAAGAACTAAGTGTGTCATCCCGTGTGGAAGACCTTGGTTCTTTCTTTGACACATTTGTTAGTGGTGCTGCAGAGGTAAGAATCTTAATCACATTTAGCTTATTCATTTTTTTCCCATTAAAATAAAAAATAAACTGGGAAATGTATGGATTTTTTTTCTAGCAAAACTTGACAACCCTTGACCCAAACGTCCGTGATACCATCCTGAATCTGACACTAATGGCACTTGGACCAAAACTGTCGACGCTAGATACTGAGGGATTCAGGTTATGGTTCCAGGTCTACCTACATCTGTTCCTTCCAAGCACTAAGTCAAGCACACTTGAAATTATTCCAAGAAACATCAGCTGTGACTCTTATCAAGAGATGTAAGTGACAACTCTATTTTTCAACTTGTCATATTGACCAAAAATTTAGAAAAGGGAATGTAAATAAAGAATGGAAACATTTTGGTGAACGGAAGAATTTTTTATTTTTTTCTATTCACAGTGTGAAGGGGTTCGACAGTGTTTTCACTCATCTCTCTGTGAGGCAGACCCAGCAGGTTTTCACCTTTACAATGGACTATCTGAGGAGACAATCCTCCTTAGGTAACTTGGATAGCATAATAGCTTAAAATTACATTGGCTTGTACATGTGTGCTGTAGGTGTGTATAAATCGACTGCTATGTTTGGTATGGAATGTTCAGTTTAAAGATTCAGTATTTTGATTCCTAGGTCTCTCTTGTGTTGAATTTGTAAATGATGACAAACACTGGCTGGAAGACAACTTCGGTCGGTTCCGTGAGCATGCCTCCTACAGAGATTTCGTGACCTTGAAGAACAATTTCAATGGAGTAAGTGTTGCCCTTTAGTGTTTGTCAGTTTCACATGATAACATGTGTACGTGTTAAAATAGTTGCCCTATAGTATGTTTTGTTAATACAGATTGCTTATAATTTCACTTGGATTACAGTTCATAATCAGCTGATTTAACAGTTTTTTAACTTTTGAATTTATGCATGGATTCTGTAAAAAAAACCTTTTTGACTATTTTCACTGGTGGCTAGGTTGTGTGGCTTTGCACAACATCAATGAGGCAATGTTTACAAAAGTTCAATCCCAGGTAGAGGGAGCTTGAGCTTGTTGGTTTTAGCCATCAGCTAAGTTTACAATAACCTGCCAAATTCGAAGATATGTGTCAAACTAAGCTAAACAGTTAGAATACATACAGAGAGCTATTAGCTGAGCCTAGTGCGCGTGCAACATATAAGAGGCAGGGGAGAGGCTGTGGGCAGATAAAATATATTTACCCAAGAGGTTTCATTGCACTTACAGTAACAAGTATAGTCATCAGTTCAGCACTGAAGCAGAAAGCATGGGAGAGACTGCAGTGTGATAAATCATTACCCCAAAACATTAAAAAGTACACATAAGGGTACCCGGTTAGCTCAGTCAGTAGAGCTAGCACCCATGTACGGAGTTGCTGCAGCCGCCCGGGTTCAAATTCGACCTGTGGCCCTTTGCTGCGTGTCATCCCCTCTCTCTCTGCAGCCCTTTCCTGTCTATCTTCGGCTACACATAAAATAACTAGTAATATCAGAGCTTATCATACTATAGTCTTAAATAATTTATCCCTAGGCTCGTTTAATAAGAGCACATTAAAAACTGCCATAAAGCTGCGATACCTTTTAATAAAAACATGTTCCTTTAAATTCTAAATATATTCAGCAGGTGTTAATGTTCAACCAGCTGTTATAGTGATTGCACAAGTTACCTAAACAGGTCCTGATTACAGCCTGGACCCAACTGCTAGAAACAACTTTTAGCCAAAGTTCAAAATTTTCTCTTACTCTCTCCCTCACTTTTCCATTTCCCTTTCTCCAACCCTCTCTAAGCACAAAGGTGAAATAAAGTAAAGTTTTCAGCTATCATATCACCCTTTACATCATGGTTAAGTAAACAGTAAATACAACAGCAAATATCAAGACAAACGGTTATAACTCTCATTAAGCATTAGCATAGTTAAAAGTTAAAAAATCTTCACCCGCCTGATGACAAAGCACACCCTAAAACAATCATAACAACAAACCGGCAAGCAATTGACTGTGTATGTCAATGAAAACTGACTCGCCCTGATGTAAGAACAACTCCTCAAAAAACAACAGCTCCAAATCTTTGCCATTCTCCAAAGAGCAGAATACTCTAGAACCTGACAAATTCAAAGTCAGAGTGGTGTATGGGTATAAGAGGAAACAAGACAAGCAAAAAAATAATGATGAATAAATAAACACTAGGTTTTTATTCAAATGTGCTAATTAGATGACTGTGTAACATGGGAAGTCATAAGCTTAACCTAAGAATACAACTGCATGCCATAATAGATTTTTACTTTTGGTGTTCACTTACTGATATGCTGTTTGTCACTTTTAGGTGGAGGTTGCAGATCTTCTCACTTTCAGTCAGCTGGCCCAACTTGCAGCAACTCCCTCACAGCTAAAAAGGATGCAAGATGTGACCAAGATAATGGCAGTTATCAACCCTGTTGACTTTGGTGCTTTCTTTGAGACTGTTTCACCAGCCATTGAGGTAAACATCTACATATATGACACTTTGTTTTTGCTCAGATAGTAATTTACACAGCATTTGTAGGCTTTGTAGGAAAAATCTTTACTTTGGTGTCATCTAGTGGTTGTGTCAAGAATAACACTATTTGCCACATACACTGAAATACCAGTTTATAGGGTACTATAACACTTAAAAGGGTCTCTTTGGACAACTCTGCAATAAATTTTACCTTCATTAAGGGTATGAAAAAGAGGTATTAAATCAAAGTAATGGTCTAGTTTGTGGTGCTTTTAAAATGCAAAGCTAATATTTTGTCCAGCCACATATATCACTCATACAAAACTGACTTTGTAAGTGAGAAAGCAAAACCTGACCTTTAGCTGCCTGGTTGCTTGTTGAGCAAGCTAGCAAACATCAACCAGAAAAAAGTGAGCTTCAATGTTGTTTTGCTGACTAACATTAGCAAGTTTATTTTATTTTACATTTTTTGCAGCATCATACACTCAGATGCCAATTTATTGGGTACGTCTAGTTAAAACTAATGCATAGCAATACAACAGCTCTGCAATAAATTGTACCTTTGTGAAGGTGATAGAAACTGTTTTAGAGAGGTGTTCAATTAAGTTAATGCTCAGAAGGTTGTGGTGTTGTATTGTATTACTTTATACTCCACCTCATTCAACTGTATCATATTTTTGTAGCAGTAACATGATATTACCTGTGAACAACAGCAAATATTAGCTTTGTAGATGGACACATTTTGTCTTGTATCTTATTGAACAAGCTAGCAAATGCCCACCAGGAAAAAGTGCACTCGCTAACATCTTTTTTTTCAGGCCAACTAAAGCTAGCAAGTTAACTAAGCAGCTACTGTAGCAATTTAAACTCAATGAAATCTACCTGCAAGCTGCACTGTCAAGGTTGGTTAGTTCAGGTGTACAGTTGGGTGGGCTTTCTTCAATACCACAGCAAAACACACTTTTGTGAGCCTATGCAACTTAGTTAAACAAGCACATGACCCAGCTTCTCACAGGCTTGAAGCTAATGGAGCATTTCTGATATAGCTGCAAAACGAGTTATGTTCAGTTGGATTCTAAAAGCAACAGAGGAACATATATTTGGATTTTCATATAATAAGATCATTGAAGAATAAATGATTGAAAATTTATTTTCATCATGAACGACTAGTTCAATTGCTGGTATGCGAGCTGCCTCTAGTGGTACTATGTGGAACTTAGGTAATATTTTTCAGAAATAATTAATTAATTAATTAAAAAAACACATAATATTATTTACTACAAAATTTGAAATAAATATACTTAAACCTACAAGATGAAATATTTAAAATAAGTTTTTCTAGTAGTATTTTTGTTCAGCCTGCTTTGTAGTCACATTCATACCTGCATACAGTTACAGTAGTTACATTAGTTAGAAGCTAAAGTGTGATGCAATCACATGTGATGCACTGCAAATTAGTATTTGAAGAAGAAGTGTGAACCACAACAGTGAACAATAAATAATCTTCTTATTAGGAACAAACCTGCCTCCTACGTGAACTGTTCGTGAATAAATAGGGCCGACCTGTGCTACTGGATTTTAATGTCGGTAATAATGGTGGTACGTGGAGAGCCTTATATTGTCTGAGGTCGTGCACAGTGTAAAAAATAGAGAAACACTGACGTAACCATGTGATTTCAGAGTTTAGCTTCTTATTAATATTATGTAAAATTCCCCCCAGATCCACCCAGCCAACTACACAGAGGAGGTGAAATCTGCCCTCCTCCAGGAAGTGTTTGACAGAGGAAATCTGTCCTCTCCAGCTATCAATGACACAGAGTTCCTGCTGTGGCTCAGGGTTCGACTGAGACCTCTCCTGGTTAACCTCTCTCCCAGTCTAGTGACGCCTTTGTTTGACATCGGGAAGAACAGGAATTGTAACAGTAGCCAAGAGATGTAAGAATTTCTGCAGTGGAGATTTTGATCATTGTGATGATTTAATTGCCTCAGACTAATATTTATCTGAATTTAGGATTACGTTGTTGGACGAGCTACACTTAACACTCAACAATGACACCCAAAGGAAGATCTACCAAAGCACCCTCCTCTTCCTTCAAGGTTTGTGTGAGAGATACACATTCTATGATAAAATTTAATTTGTTGTGAAGTGATTATGTATTTCAGTGTTTTTTTTTCTCTGACAAAATTTGCCCAAAAATAATAGAAATTATTTAAAACAGGACAAGGCCCTCAAGTGTTACAGTGGTGGAAGCTTCTACATCTATCTGAGGAATACTTTCCTCAGCTTTGGCTTTCCAGATTTGTACACCTTCACGTCTCTTCTGCCACAGACACACGAGTCAGAGGTAATATAACAATATTTACTTGCAGAGGGTGAAATACAGATATTGCCTTTCCACAGGAGAATTAATCACTTACCTGGCGGATGGATGTTCCAGTAGTAATATCAAAATAGTCTTCTGTACACTATAACTTTTTCAAGTATCATTTTTTTTCTTTCAGCTCTTAAGTACCATAAGCACCTCAGAGCTGCGCCAGTTCCTCAGTCAACCCAATGTGATTGGGAACAACTCTGACATCTGTGTCATCTTCAACAACTACAACAACACTCCTGTCTTCCTAGCAACTGTATGTTCCTCTTCTGAATGCCATATAATATACATTATTACTGATATGGCATGTTGATATTGGTAGCATCAAAATGGCCATTTTGTCACCATGCAGAGTATACAATACATCACTCAATCATCAATCTAAAATCACAGATATTACACCAGTCTTACGTTACACATGTAAATACATGTGTATGCCATTAGGAGGATGTTCCAGATGATGTGAAGATGGCGACACTCCCTTGTGTCTGGCCCTTGGCACTGAGCAGCAACAGCAGATCTGAGGTTAATTCCTGGTTCGACCTACGGTTGAGGAACTATCTCAGATTCCTCAGCAAGAGCCTCATCAGCTCCAGTGAAGTGCAGAATGCTTCATGTCTTGCCTTCCAGAAACTGTAAGTCTCTTGTTCAGTATTAGAAAACTTAGTACCCTATATGTCACCCAATGTATTAAGATTTGTCTTGTATCACCTGATATGTCTCATCTCACAAAATAGAAAATAAAAAAAGAAAGCTCAGTGACAACAGGACTGTCATTGGTAGACTACATGATATTCAATTTTCCTTTCGATAGGGTCTCTGTAATGGGAAATAACTTCACATACAACGGCACTGAGTTTGGAAAGGCTGATGTATACACCACCATTAGAGCCTACTTGAGAACTGGTAAGACATTTTTAAGTAAATGTATAATGTACGATGGATGTGTGAAAATTCAAGGAATTACAATTTTACCAACCCAGTCTTCATTTATAGCAAAGGATCTAATACTGACACGCTGAGTCTAACTTGTGTAATTCTACAAAATATCAGTTAGTAGGGATTGTGATACTGACTGATAAGACATATAGTTTAAAAAAAATAATAATGTGCCCAGCTCTGGAACGAACTTTACATCACAAATGACCCTGTTGACTTGACCCATGCTAGCAGCGTGGGTCTAAGGATTGCAATGCCAATCTGTAATGAAATTTTCTACATACATTCATGGTATCCAGAGGATGATTCCTAAATTTTCCTTTAGCACCATGAGGTTGACATTTGTGGATTTGACTGAAATATCTTGCAAATTATAGGATTGCCATTTTGTAAAGCCATTCATGTCTTCCCTCATGATGAATTTTAACAACTTTGGTGATCCCATAATCTTTCATCTAGCACCATCATCAGGTTAAAATTTCTTTGTTATTTTGTTTAACTTTGGTTTATGACCTCCAAAATACTTCCAAAACTAATGACATTACCATCAGCCACAGCTGTTCTTTGTGGTTAGTGCCGGTTAGAAAAGGCATGCTAACATGTTTAACTAAGATGGTAAAAAATTATAGCTGCTGTCATTGCGAGTATGTTAGCATGCTGACATTAGCAATTAGCTGTAAGCACCTCTGTGATAGAGTGTCTTTACACTCTTGTTTCAGTTTGAGCTCCACTGGTGTTTAAATATTTGAGTATATAGTATAATATTTTATACATCATGTAAAGAGATGAAAGTATTGTTCTTAGGTTATTTGTTTACAAGCTTCTGGTTTTTCCCTGTGTCCACAGACTCTGGAGCCAGATGCTACAATGCCAGTGATGCAGAACTCAATTCTACCGCCTGGTTTGTCAGTAACATCGGCAGCTTTGTGACACTTATCACTCTGGATGATCTCACATCCTTCGTCTCCACCAGTCAAGTATGTCCTTAAATCAGTTCTACATAATTTATTTAAAGTTTGTGCTTAAGCAAAATATAGAAGTTTAATTAGCCATAGCCTTCACAGTCGTAATCTGTTTTTTTCTCAATCTATTTTCAGTTTATCATTAATTTATCTAAGTGAAGATTGAGAAAATCAAACGCATTATTTTAATATATATATTTATTTTACCTATTTGCTCCTTTGTTTTTGAAGATTGGAGTGTTTTTGTTGGATCAAGCCAACCTGGAGCTCTTTAACAACACAGCAATTCCAGAAAATGTAACCAACTACTACATCTCACAGCTTTTTGAATTCAACCCAAACTTCAATCCAGTGAAGTGAGTAAATTGACAAAAAAATATGTAATATCATACATATAATTTGGTCAGTGAATGTTGACTATAATGATTTTTATATGAAAATGAAAACTATGTAACTTTTCATCCAGGCTTCCAGGCCTTTTCCTGTGCTCTCCTGAGGTCCCATCTTTAGCATATTCTTCTGTAAATCAAAGTGATACCATCTCCATCTTGAATAAGCTGAAGAAGTTCTGCAATGGAACAGAGGACGCTGAGGTACCAGCTCCAATTGTTTTTACACAGAACAGAGTTCGAGCATTTTAACCTTTTGTGTTGATTATCCTTAGTCCTTTTGGTCAGTGCAGAACAGAGTTACTGTGCGTACTGTGCTGTAGACAATTTTGGCAAATTTTGTGACAGGCTGGGTTTACGATTTTAAGCTCTATGAAGTGTTAACTTTTGAAATACATGGTCTACTGAGTCAGCGTTACAGTGTCTGGGTGGTTAGTCTTGTAAAGAGTCCTCAGGTAAGTGAAAATGAGATGTGTGTATCTGCAATATGGAATTACAACTTGTCCGGGGTCTTCCAATCTTTCATCCAGTGCATCATAGAATCTGATCCAGCCTGTCTTGATCTTGAATAGGAAAAGCTGCAAATACAAGAAGAGAATGAATGAGTTAAAGATTTGCAACTTTCAACAGGCAGCTTGTGAAAGAAAGAAACCAATTCCAATCCAGGTTGAACTTTCTTCAGCTAGTCGAACATATCTCTGTCTTCATACCTCTTCGCTCTGTTTCATGAGGTGCTATGTTGGTACATGCTACCAGTGTATATAGGTTTTGAGTTTGTAAACATAGAATATAATTAGCCATATTGGCTCTAGACAGATTAAAACTATACAACAGTAAAAATGTCCTTAGGTGACTTTTTTCATAACCCGGTGGATTTTATTCTGTAGGTATCTGCTGCTCTAGCATCCAACATCCAGACCATCACAGCAGACACATTTGCTACCCTGGGCAGTGCCAGCGCAGGCCTGACCAACAGCCAGATCGCTTCAATTTCCCCGTCAGTGCTGATTTCCTCTTTGTCCACCCTGAGCACAGTCAGCACCTGGAACCAGGAGCAGGCGGCCACTATCATCCAAACCATGACTGCCTCGGGCTTCCAGGGTAGATGGCCCTACTGCCCACTTACATGGGCTTGATAGCAATCATGTGATTAGTATTTAAGTATGTTGCTTAATTCAGCATTGTTTTTTACATATAAAATGACACTGAAGTAAACTGTATATGCCTATTTGATAAATGCAAATGTATTAAACAGATCAACAATGGAGCCTCCCTGGAATCCCTTGGCACACTTGTTGCTGGAGTTTCTTCAGAGTCAATGAAAAAAATCCCGGCTTCTGAGCTACTCACTGCCTCCAAAAGCAGCACCTTTGTTGCTAACATAATGGCAGCCTCAGCAGTTGTCCAACAGACCTTTATCAACAAGGTACAGTTACCTTCTGATTCTAACACATTCTAACATTACAGCCATGATTCTCAACAACTCAACAATCTTTAGGGCACATCTCTGGGTGGTATTAAAAAAATAATCAGAAGGGGTAGATAGGGAATCGGATCAAAAAACAATGATATCAAAGTATTTGAGCATGTATGGTGCTGATTTAAGAATAAAATGAAAACATATTCTATACTATGATGAAGGGCTCGCTGTGCTCTTCTCTGTAAATATATAAATAATTGTAATATTGTAATAACAAAAGATCAATCAAAGCTAATGCAGCAAAGGACAGTATTTTAGTGATATAATAATATTTCAGTTATGAAAACTTTGCCGGCTTTACTTCTTTTATTTAATTTTTTTTACAGTTAAAGATGTTATTACAGCTTTTAGTCTTCATTTACTATAAAAAGAAATTATGTGAGCTGAGTTTTTCAGTTGAGTTGCAGTAAAGACTTGCATTGTTAGACTTTTAAAAGGCATGATGATCAGTTTTGGTATAATGTGCCATGTTGATATGAATGTGTGTAAATGCAGAAAATAACATTCAAGAACTGAATATGTCTTTTTGTATTGATTCACTCACACAGCAATTTTGAGATGATTTCTGATCTTGGTTTTTAACTTTATGTAATTCACTGGTAGATCATTTCTGTGGACCCAAGTCCAGCCAAAGTGGTAGTGAATGTCCCTGATGCAATGGCAACTGACATCCCAATGTCCCTGCTGGCATTCTCTGAGGAGACTGTGGATATCAGTGTGATGAATAAAAAGAAATGGACAAGAGATCAGGTCAGTATGTGGGTAAATGAACACAAAAGTTATTTGAAGACTCAAACTGAAGTCATTCCACTACAGTAACAGAAAAGACATTTATTCAGTGTTTTTCCCCAGATGTTAGTTCTTAGTTCAAGACAAAAACAACATTATTACATTGTGTGACTCCTTAAAACCAAGAGTAAATTTCTTATCAGGTAAATTGAAATTAAAATCATATTTATCGTACCTTTACGTCAAATCCAGGGTTGATATGAGGTCAACTTTAACAGTTCAAAAACACACAGCGAAAAAGCCCACAAGACCTTTTCTCAAGTGTTGCTGTAAAGAGAAAGTTTTAGCTGACATTGCTGTGTCTGTTCTTCTAGGCCGCCATGTTTGTCGGGTTTCTGGATAAAACAAGCTTTGACATTGAGCAGTAAGTGAACAAGTCCCATGGCTATTTTTTTACCCCAAGGAATTTTTTCAATGCCTATTAAATTTCTTTGTGGTTTTTCATTATCCCCAACAGGCTTTCTCCTTCTGTGCTGCAAGGATTCACATGCACGTCAGTCCAGAGAATGACAACAACCAGGATTCAGGGGCTGATCCATGCCTGTAGGCCGAAGAAAGGCAGGGCCAAGGTGGAGCTGAAGGAATCACAGGTAAATGTTAATACATGAGCAAAACTTATTACTTATTAAATTAGATGACTATGGTCTTTTATCTGAAGTTGATAATTAAGATACATTGGATGTATAAAACTGTATAAAATCAGAGTCATACATTTTAAAATATATATGTATGTTGTGTTGTATAACAGTTAGTATTATTCTGTCTTTGCACAGCTGACATGCATGTACAACCTGCTCAATGGAAACCTATCCCAGAACTTCACAGATTATCCCTCAGACATGCTTCTCTACTTCAAGTGAGTACTTTGTTGTACTGACCTCAAAGGGTGCCACTAGCTTATAAAAGTATGTATTTGTTTATTAATTCTCCCATCCTAATGTCCATTTATTACAGCAACAAAGATATCAAGAAAGCCAACTGCAGGTCCTACCTTTCCGCAGTGGGTGCTGCAGACTTCTCTGTGGCCTCCAGCATTCTGAACAAGGACTCCTTGCTATTCAGTGAAGCCAGGACCTGCTTGGTGAGTGCTATTTAAATTGAGGTTTACTACAAAAACTGAAAAATGTTTAATGGTGTGGGTATAAAGTAAATCACCACTGTATGGCATCAGAGAGTGATCGCATATACTAAGAAATATGTAGATGCACATATAACATTTTATATGGATGCATATATATATGCAAAAAATGACAAACAAACTTGTGCTTGAAAGGGAATTTTCTAAATGGTACTGATATATATATCACTAGTTTGACTGTGAATCTACTGTGGCACAATTTTAAATTAAATACTGTTTTTAACTGTCTAGGGTATAAGTGGTGTGAATCTGAACAGAGACAATGTGGAAGTGCTGGGGAGCATGGCCTGCACTCTGGACAGTGCTTACATCCAGAACGCTGATCCTCTAATTCTGGAAAAACTCAAAGCCTGCAAGGACTTCTCTGACAGCCAGGTGGCTGCCATGGAGACACTACTGCTGTCTGGGAAAACACAATACGGGTACAAGAATAAGATCAAATTACTATTCGATATTGTTCTTACTGTCAACAAATCCCATGAAAACACCAAAATCAACAATGAATTGGTCCTACTAACAAGTATTTTCTGTGTAGCCGTAACCATATATTGCTTATTTCTCTGTGAGGGTGTTTTTATAGGATTTGTTGGCAGTAAGAAAAATGTAAGAATAACACCAGCCTTTTCCTTTAACTGTGCTAAATACAAATTGCATTAACACATTTATTTAGAGGTATTTTTATGTAAAAGATCTTTGATTCCCATGTACCATATTTGGCATCCTATGCCACCAAGTGGGTAGCAAGGTAGCAAAGCCAGATTATATGAATATATCATCTTCCCATTTTCAGGAATGTTGCCACCTGGAACCAGCAAACACTGGAAAACCTTGGGATCCTACCTCTGTATTTCACAACGAACATCTGGGAGCAGTTCGAAACTGTATGTGTTTTACTCTTACCTGTTTCTTGATAGTAGTTATTTCAATCATATTAATTTAATGTTATGAATTTAAAGTACCTTGTAAGAGACACTTTGTTTTTGTTGAATGTTTTTTGCAGAAAACAAAGAAAAGGTTCCTTAAGACCTTTATGTCCCAACTGAGGAAATCAAAGACAAAGAAGAGGAAGCTCAAGGTGCTGTTTAAACAGATCAGCGATCTCAGGATAAAACGAACAGGAGGTAAAGAAGAAAGGCGGAGAGGCATAGTGTGTTTGTTACATAGCAGCAGCTAATGATATGATACCAGTTTCACTGTCCGTGTGTTTGTGTGTGTTGTAGAATGACATAAAATAAAGTGAAAAACTCCTGTGTCTAACTTAACTAACTTTTTTTTCTCTCATTGGCCAATTATCTCAAGGCTGCACTGTAGGCAACATCACCCAGGTGACAGTCAACGACGGTTCCTTCCCTTTCGGCTACGACCAGACGCAATTTGACCTCTGCCTAGACATCCCTGTTCTGAAGGACAACCTCAACTCTATCTGTGAGAAAGTGGATGATGATGACTTTCAGAAAATCATTCTAAAGAAACTCAACCAGGTAATTTCAGCATTGATACGTTTTTTTATGCAAATTGATGTATATTTCGACAAACTACCATGTGTTCACATTTGCTCTTCCTACAGGCATTCCCATTGGGTGTTTCTGAAAAGGAAGTTCAGGTTCTCAGTTCGCTGTCTCGTGCAGCGTCACTTGATGACATCTCCAAGTGGAGCATCACCAAAATTGAGACCCTGGCAGCACTCATGAATGCTGATGATGGCCCATGGGAGGCAGAAACGGTACACTACAGACGGATTCTCAAAACTACATATTGTTCTTCTGAAGCTTAAACCAGTTGTGCAATATTATGAACAATAATCATGCCTGTATACATTTGCTCATGTAAAGTGTTTTCTTTATTGCTGTTTAGAGTAAAGCAATCATCACCAAGTATCTGAATACTCCTGGGAACTCTCTGGGCAGCACTGAGCTGAACAGTATTGACTCCAACCTGTGCTCATTGGACACCAGTACACTGAAGACCATCAAACCAGACAGTATCAGGTAGGTGGGAGCATGTACCTCAAAGTTGCTTAAACATGGCCACTGTGAGTGATGATACAGACCTGACACTACATGTTACTTTCTTCTTGTACCTTGCCAGAAATGCCAAACCTTTGGATGTGGCATCATGTTCATCTGAGCAGAAGAGAGTCCTGTATGAGATCAGTAATACTTCCTTCAGCTCACAACGTAGCAGTGCAACTACCTATTACAATTTAATTAAGACCTATCTAGGTAAGGATACATGTTACCTGTCTCTGGCTGTTTTCTTGTCTCTGATAAAGGGCCTCTCTAATTTCCTGTTTTTTTTTCTACTCGGATAGGTGGGGCACCTCTGCCAGATGTAGTAGCACTGTCAACCCAGAACATCAACATGGATGTACGCACTTTGCGGAGTCTGGATCCTGACGTCATCACTGTGAGGATATTTATTCTTTTAAAGACTATTAAAGTAGTTGTTATATTGATTGAATATACTGCAACTAAGCAGTAGTTGTAAACACTGCAATACATTATAAAGGATTAAAAGTCCAAGCTAACCTCTCAAACTTAGAAATTAACCTGATTTATATCCTTTGTTTAATCAATACAAAAATGTAATTGTAAAAATGTGTGTGTTTTTTCACGTTGGGTTAGCTAGTTTCCACTCTTTAAGCTAACCAGCTGCTGACTGTAGACTAAAATTTAACATACAGATATGAGAGTGGTATCAATCTCATCTATCTATTCCATTAATGGTTGTGATGAGCACACATACATCTGGCAGTTGTGTAAAGTGTGTTGAAGAGTCAGACATTTTCAAGACTATTTACAGTTTACTTTTGTCACACATCTTGGCTAGTAGTTAGGTCAGGGTTGAGATGACCATAGGCTGCAGGATGATGGCTTATATTAGTATCTCAAAGTACAGTATGTGATCCTCTGTAATTTGGTCATCCTTTCTAGTTAACATAGCAGACTGTATGTACTAACAGAGTGAAAAAGAAGTTGAGAAATGTCTGATGCTCTTTATTGTGAGTATAGACCTTTATCACCCCTTTGACATGAGATAGTAGTGGTAAACACAGGTATTACCAATGAAAATAATTAAGGTTCTGTTTTTCAGGTAGAACAGAGTCAGGGTGCATGTTGGCTCAATAAAAAGGCTCCACTAAAATAAATGGAATGGAGCCTTATTGGTATCATTCGTAAAATCTGTGTTGACCCTACCATTTCATGTTAAAGTGGCTGCTGTGAAAAGGGTCTGTTGGACTGACTGTGCCAACCCTGAGAGAAGGTCAACAAGTTGTCAGTTGTAGAGGTTAAAAGTAATACATTTTTGAAAATCTCCTCACTGTTTCATTTTAAATACACAGAGTTTGACCGTGAACGATGTGAAAGGCCTCATGGGTAACCAGCTACAAGATCTGAAGGTGTTTGAGAACGATACTGTGATTCAGGCCTGGAGGAACAGGCAGCTTCAGTCAGACCTGGACCTCCTCGGTCTGGGCCTGACCACCGACAGAACTGACCCAGTCACTACACCACCCAGCCTCAACAACAATAGCCCTGCAACACCAACACAGGGTAAAAATACATACCTTTTGTGTGTATTGAGTAACAATAGGTTTATGCCCACATTTTAGCATACAGTATTTATATTCTCTATAGCTAACTGAAAATAGTAATCATTGCTGTTAGAGAAGATACCCTACAACTGTCTGTGTTACATCTAATTTTGTTTTATGTGGTATAATTTGAGAACATAAAAATATTTTTGTATCATCCAAAGTTAACTGTATATCAGAACTGTACTGTACTCAGAACAGATTTATAGACTCTGTGACCAAGTTAACAGGACTTTTGACTATTACTTTAACTATAAGTATCTCATTTGTGCAGTGAGAGTGTCATTGCTTGTGGTGTAAGGTAAATTGCACACTGTACTATTTTCAGCCACAAGAGGGCGCAAGTGTGCCATAATCTGTTTTTATGAACATTTCAGTAAAAAAATGATAAATTTCAAATGATTATACACCTTGTATTTAAATAGCACGGCTACCATAACAGGCCAGTACCCCACAAGATTTGGCGTTTGTTGTTAATGCACCATCTGAATTTGCATCCAGTTAATGATATGCAACAAAGTGGGGTTTTTTTCTGCTGTGTGTTCACTGCTTTTACAATGCACCGCCGAACTAGATTGACTAACCATATTTCATCCACAGGAAACACTAGCGGCTCAAGTGCAACCCTGACCAGTACAGTGACAACACAAGGTGATCAACTGCAATAATATACAGTACCAGTTTACCCACTGTACTCACATGATGTAGTAATGTTTAATTCTAAAAAGAGGGTTGCAAAATATAATGTCATCTATTTATTAACCATGTGCATAATGACAAGTACAGTTAAAATAATACAATTCTGTTTCACTCTAAATGTATGTGTTTGGTTTTGATTTCTAGCTACTACCACAAGTGGGGGAGCAGAGCTTGTAGGACACCCAGCATCCATATTCCTGGCTGCTCTGCTGACAACTGTGCTGCAAATACTGCACCATCCAGCCTAAATACATTTGTGACTTTAGCGATCTAATCAATAATGAGTAATTACTCACATCTTGAGATTTCTTAATATTATTGTTAATGCTATTTAATCACTTTGCTTAATTGCAACTGCTTAATTTCTGCTTTACGCTATCTCTTCATGTTGTAAAACTATGTTACTGAACAATCAATCAAAATAATATATTTTAAGTGCTGATTTGGGATTTAATCTGGGATTTTAAAAGTAATTAATAACATTTATGTTTAATCATTAGGAGCAAAAATATAGTATATGAAAAATAAATATAATATTTCCTCAAATTTATTGTATCATCTATTATCATAATTTACACTGTATTGCCATTTCTTAAATTAATAAATACATACTAATAAATATGTGATGCTTGTTTTTCTGTCTCTTGGGGCTGATTATAAAGAAATTAAACATATTGTATGCTCTGAATTTTTATTAATTTTACCATCACAATTAAATCCACACTCCTAGTCTCCAAAGTAGCTGTGTGCATTGAATAATAAAGAACAGAAGCATTGTCTGGCTTGTTGTTTGTCTCAGGTAACAAATAAGATTGAGGGTCTGGATAATTCTACTTCTTATATATTTATATGGAGCACAAATATCTGATCATAAGATACAGACACATTCCCACTTTAGTGTTTTTTAATCCCTAACTTTTATTTAGAAAATGCACATTTCAAAACACATTTCCAAAGCCATTTGTGTGCATTTTTGCAAGGAAAATGCCAAATCTGCAAGGCATTTATAAGGGATGAAACACACATTCACACACACTATCTTAGATAGATATATCTTTATTCTGTAGTACAAAGTGATTTAAAATAAACCCTTTATCCACTTAAAAAAGAAAATGCAATAACCCACTTAAAATGCAGAAGTATCCCATGATTGAGGCTACAGCCATGCCAACAGCTGTCTAAGGTAGACACAGTGGTGCTTTGAGCTAAATACAGATGTCACCGTGCTAACATGCTGATATTTAGCTTGTATAATGATTACCATCTTAGTTTCGCCTATTCCCAGCTAACAGTAAAACAGAAAATGCAGTAACTCACATACAATGAATGTAAATGAAAGTACATCAGAGAGACTAACATGAAGACTTAAAAAGGTACATTGTAATGCCTATTTATCATGGGATAGGTTGTATTTTCATTGTATTTCACAGTACATTAAATAGGTGTAACAATATGCATCATTAATGATGTGATACAAATTTTGTGTTCTTGATCCAAGTTTCCAAATGTTCAGTTTCCAATGCCATGCTCCAAATTTATATTGGTACATATTATCATTTCTATAATATTATTTTTGTTCAGTTCTAAACATAGCATTTGCAACAAATTTTAACATTTTAACCTCAGTTAGAATGACAACACACTCATGAGATCCAGTCCTAAACTGAGTTTTTGCTCTGGTCATTGTGATTGTAAAAACTGAGAACCTTATGTCTGCTTCCTCGCATTTGTTCTCCTGATCTACTTTGCAGTGGGAAAGAGAAATAGGAAAGAAAACAAGGAGGACTAGGACACCGTTTATTACACCCCTAACATTAGAAAATATAAAAGTAAATGCCCTGTAATAACTCATTTGCCCATTTGCTGAACAACACATGTACTTATTTTCTTTCACATCATCGGCTTCTGTGATTCCAAATGAATCTTGCAGCTCATCTTCTCTATCAGGTTAAGTGTACATGGAAAGGTACATCCACTGCAAATTAAGAAGAGATAGATTATTAATGCGCTTCAA